ATCAGGATATTTTAACACTCAGAGTTAACCCCGAGGCACTGCAGGATCCAATGAGATTTCCGAATCATCAAAGCAAGGCTGAACTACGTGTCTGCATGGCATGTGTATTGTACTGTATTCTAAACTTATTTGAAAAAATTTATGATGAGTACTTGGCAGTATTTCTCCATGTGTGTTCCAATAGGTTTTACACCATAAAAGGGCTCTGTTGTCAGAGCTAAAAAATGTTGTTTCTTCCTGCTCAGTATTCATCCCTCTCTTCCCTGGAAACTACTCCTTGCCTTTGGGGACCCACCCCACCCCCAGCCCTCCTGCTGTTCATGTAGTTCACATAAAGATGACCCCACAGATATGCACTGCTCAGCCAGGGGTGGATCCCAATTCAGGCCTGGACTATTATTAACAGCATTTTCTATTGCCACGATGATCAGGTCAGGCATCGGCAGGAAACCTAAGCCAGGCAAGACTCGATTCGGGGATCTTTACTGGAACCACTGGGAAGGAGATGCCCTTCTCTCTCCACTGGGATTGCTGACTAAAAGGATGCTATAAGGCCTGCCTAAGGCGGCAGTGCAGAACAAAACAAAGCCAAAAGATGAGACCAAGACCTCATCACATCACTGGAGCCCCTGATTCCAACTGCACCTAAAGCCAACAGCCAAAGCCCTAGACTGTTCAATTGCCTGAACTAATAAATTCTTTTTTTTTTGCTTAAGCACTTGTAATTGCAAGAACGCTGATTCATACACTAAGTTATACAAAGTTAAACATGTCTTCTTTACTATAGGGCTTCACAGAGCCTTCAAAAATATTAACATACATTATGAATCTCCAACAGGGAGATATAATATGCAGCATTTCCCAAACTTATATCCAATGAATTTTTTTTGGAAGACCATATCATAGAGCTTGTATTCCATAGCAAACACCTTGGGAAAGTGTAATACATATTACCTATAGCTTAACCTAATATTAAAATTCTGCAAATCCCCATTCCCTTATTATTCTGGATAAATGAGACCAATGGGAATTCATTTATCCAACACTGTTGATGCATTTTTCCAGACTTTAAAAATGTATGTATATAATTTTTTACTCTTTTTACTAAATTGGGGTCATAAGCACAAACCATGGCATATTTTTCCAGGCTTAATAAAATATGTGTATACACACAAGTCTTTTTTTAAATCATGCCAAGGTCCTAACTCCTGTACTGTTATACTTTTGAGTTCTGCATTTTAAAATATTTTTGGCCTCTAGCCTGACTGCCAAGCTATCAGCTGTCACTCTGCTTTGTTCTAAATGTGTCTACCTCTAGAAGCGGCCACTCCTGCTCTTCTGGGGGCTGGTAAAACAAATAAAAGAAACTCACTGGAACTGTGTGTTCAAAAACAGCAGTGGGGGAGGGGGAGGCTCATGCGCTGAGAGCGAGAGCCAGAGTCAGGTACGAAGTGAAGTACCTGATTGTCTGTACGTGAAATCCAAAGATTTTGGCAAACTAAATGCTGCTTATTTGCAGGTTCTTGCTTTCGTATTATTACACAGCTAACGTTTCCAAATAACTGACCTTCGACTATGGGAATTGTTACAATACTTAGCCAAGAAAAGAACCACTCCAATTTGATAGTAAACACTGAACTCTACTTAGGAACTTTAAGATGAAAAAAAAATTTTTTTTGTAAGCCTAGTCGAGTCTATAGTCCAAAAATTCCATTTCTTAGTTTATAAGTCATCCATTGGCACAGAAGTCAAATTTCAGTCATTTTTCAGGCATTTTGTCTGCCTATAACTCTCAAGTAGCTGTTTGCCTATTTAAAGGGTATTTGTGGGCTCCCCTGTTTTATGATCCTGTAAGAAAATAGATGGGGATTTGGGGCAACAGGGAGGTAAATCAATCTCCCTTTGTGTCACGAAAGTACAGCCTTGGCCCTGTACAGGCAGGCAGGGAGGGACACAGGCGGGCAGACTGGCTGGCCGGGAGAGTAAGGCCCGTGATGATCAGTGTTAGATTCTGTCACAGGAGTAGAAACTCCCAAGTCCTTTTGGTTAGCACCAAGCAGGATTTGCAGCCAAACTCAGAGGCTTGAGAAAAAAAAATGCACCAGGACTTTTCAATGCCTGGATCTAAGGATCCAGAGGCAAAACCTGGGGTCACCTGTGACCCAGTAGTATGGCTTAAAGAGGAGCCCAGCCTACCATTGCCCTGATGCTTTTTCCAGACTCCAAAGCACATGTTCTGGAAGGTTCACAGGCTCCGGGGCTCCCACTGCACCCCCAAAGTGGGGAGGAGCCAAGCACCTGCTCAGCCAGCCATGTGCAATTCTGAGTCCACTCTGCCAAAGAAAACACCCCAGCCCGCCCCTCCCAAGCATTCACGCTTTTAAGGGGCCTCTGTCTTCCCCCTTCGAGGCCTGCTGACCAGATGTGGGCCTGGGTGACGCCCGGCAGGCCTGAGCAGCCAGGGGGCCATTAATCTGCAATTAGGACTGAGCACGCCCCCACCTGCTCCGCCTACTGCCTCTGCACAACCGTGCAGCTGAAAAGCACTCTTGGAGGAAGCAGAGCCCTCCGTTTATCTTCAGGAGGAGTCACTTGGAAAGCTTTCTTGGACAGATCCCCTTGCCCTGGGGCACTTAGCTCCACTCCTGCTTCAAAAGCAGAAGTGGGGGTGGGGGCACTTTTTCACTGTCTATGTCATTTCATTTTAATTTTAGGGCAGTGAAACTGTAACGAAAAGGTATTTAGAGGTCACCCCATGAAAGCAAAACCTAAGACAGCAGGGGGGGCTTGCTTCTCCCTCCCCACCACCCACAGCACAGGCCCCATCCAGGACTGCCGCCCCCGACGTCACACCTGGGCTGTGAGAGTGACAGGGAGGGTGACGCAGGGGGCAGAGGATGGCGTGTCAGAGCACTGATGTTGTCTGCACACAGGCCTGGGGTTCACAACTGCGAGACCCACACACTGGGCTTGCTTCAGCGACACACATTGGTTGGCCTAGTACTGAATCCACTCCAGGTTTGTCTTTCTGCCCGGTGAGGGGACACATCATTCTCCAGGTAAGCTTTGCAGCTGAGAAGATGGATGGAACCCCACGAGGGTTTCATGCCTTTCACCAGGCTCTAGGCCACGTCCACTGCTGGGCCGCCAGCCTGTGCTTGCCTCCTTCCCACCCTCACACACGGCAAACGACGGGAAAGGAATAATGCAGTTATAAAATGCCGTAATAAAGGAAATAGGAGGAAGGTCCTCCAAGGACAAGAGATTTCAAGAAATCTAAAGCAGACAGGAGGTAGATGGCAGAGTGGTAGCTGACAAGTGTACATAGGAAGCCTCAACCCGGAATGACATGCTGCAAGACAGCTGGAGCTGCAGGGAACAAGCCTGCAGGTGGCGGAAACTGGCTGTGCTCAGGATTTGAAACGGCAGGGACGGCAGGGTGGCAAATGGTGCTTATTAAACAGGGACATCACAAACAATGGACCCAAACTTCCCCCCATCCCCCAACCACCGCCTGGCACATACAGACCTTAAAGCCAGGCCAAAAACGGAAGCTCATCCTTACAGATGTTGATCCTCCATAAAATGTGACAGAGCTGTGTAGAACAAGAGCCCTTTATGCTGACTTGGTGCTATATTCAAACCTTAATGGAGTGGGGGTTGGGGAGTGAGTTCCTAATCCTCATTTTCCTTTGCCCCAAAAATGAGGGCAAAGTACCAGGATCTTTACCCATAGAGGTGACCCCCCTGTAATGTGAACCAGGGGCTAAGCCCTGCACTGGCCCCCTAGTGTGCTGACACAGTGGCAGAGCTGCCCACAGCCCGAGGCAGGCAGACACCACCATCCCGGGAGGGAACGTCAGGCCCAGCAGATGCCCCTGGACACCACACCCTAAACCAGCAGACCACTTCCGACCAGCCTTCCAACCAGGGCTTCCAAACCAGCAAAGCCTACCATCTCCAGCCACTCGGCCCCGCTCAGCAACTGTGCTTTCCTCTGATAGAATAGAGTTGGCCGTCTCTCAGCTGTTAAAGCTCTACTCTGATTTGCCATCCCCATGAACCTACTGGCTTCTGCACTAAAGCAGGTTTGCTGCACGGCCTTAAAACGTTTTCACTTTGTATTCTATCTTTGATCTCTAACAAGTTTTATTTTTTTTAACACACCTAAAGTTTCAGGAACCCTGGGCTATAATAGGTGATTAAGCTCCCACTTCGTTCTCACAAGCAAAACGCATGCAATATAAAATATAGGCACGTGCATATTTTTGAGAGAAGACAATGTGTTTGAAGGCTTCCATGGTTGGGATTTGTTGAACACGGTCACATCAGGTGTTAGGGCAGTGTGTACATGCACACGTGCACGGGCTTTGATAGCACAGCCTTTTCCCCACAAACTCACTACAGAAGTCCAATGCACAGCACTGATTAAGCAGCAACTGCTCTGATTAGAGCAGGGAAGGAACCACTACCCCATCCACTCAGTTCCTCTTTCCCCCTTGTGGCCCAGTTACTTTCTCAAACTAGGTTTCCAGAGAGCACAGTTAGCAACCCCAACTCAGAACAGCTAATGAGTAACTTAACTACACAAAACAAGTAAATGGGCTGGGCGTGGTGACTCACGCCTGTAATCCTAGCACTATGGGAGGCCAAGGCAGGAGGATCACTCAAGTCAGAAGTTCGAAACCAGCCTGAGCAAGAAGAGCGAGACCCCGTCTCTACTAAAAATAGAAAGAAATTAATTGGCCAACTAAAAATATACAGAAAAAATTAGCTGGGCATGGTGGTGCATGCCTGTAGTCCCAGCTACTCGGGAGGCTGAGGCAGGAGGATCACTTGAGCCCAGGAGTTGGAGGTTGTTGCTATGAGCTAGGCTGATGCCATGGCACTCTAGCCCAGGCAACAGAGTGAGACTCTGTCTCAAAAAAAAAAAAAAAAAAAAAAGGAAATGTTTCACTTTGTAAAATATGTAAGTAAAAAACAAGAGCAGTTATCCTTACCTGCACAAGTGTAAACACCATCTGATGAAACAGTAAGTGGATTCAGCCAGTCAGAACTCAGCATGCATCACCCCCATCTCCACCTACATTTAATGAGAGTGAAGTGTGAGCCGGGGCCAAGTGATTTACATGGATCCTCTCATTCAGTCCAAACAACAAAACCACAAGGCCAATATGGCTATTACATTACCCACATTTTTACATGTTAAAGAACTTGACCGAGGCCTCGTAGCTAGTGGGTGGTAAGAGCCAAGAGCGAAGCCAGGTCTGGACTCCAAGACCCTGCATGCTCTTAGTCACCATGTTCCACTGGGCCCCCTAATAGTTGCTTGTGGCTTCCTACTTTTTCTCTATTTTCTGAATTTTGTATTTGTACCAACCACTTTCATAATATTAAGGGTATTTTAATTTGGAAGCAAAAAAGGATAGGTAGTAGGGGAAAGTTGGTTCCTTACGTCCAAGAGAAGCAGGCAATGCAGGGGTGCCCTAGGGTGGCTCGTCCATAGGGTCACCATGGGGTCACCAGCAGGCCAGCACCAGGCAGGGCTCAGCAGGAATTCTTCACCCCAGCAGGGCTCAGTGCTCCTTAACAGCCAGGTCAATCCCAACCTTTCTCTCCCTCCCTTCCTAGCAAATGGAAACATTAGAGAAACTTACTGGTCCTGATGTTACCACTCCCTCACTGCTACACTGAGAAGGGGGAGAGAGGGGAAGAGAACATGTGAACCAAAATTCCTCATCTACTTAAAGTCAACAAATCAGCAGGCAGCAGTATATGAATATTATTTAGGAATGTGAAGAAAATATTAGCAGAAACAGGTAAAAAAAAATTTTTTTTTAATTGTTCTCTCTGGGGAAGTAATCATGGGGGAGGGCCAGGGGCTGGGATATAAGAGGTTGCTGCATTTCTATAAGCCTTTAGCATCATTTGGCTTTTCAAATCAAGTGCCAATATTTTTTTATTTGTAAATAATAGTAAAACCTACCCTTCTTAGTGTTCTCTTTTAGCTTAATGGACTCTAGGAAGCTCAGATAGAATGTGGTTTTTAATGTGGTTTGTGGATCCAGGAGATCTAAGACACAGAGGATGGGAGGTCCCAGATTTCGATGTGGCTTCGCTGCTCTGTGCTGTGTGGCCTTGGGAAAGATGCTTAACCACTCTGAGCCTCTCTACTCCAGAAGGGCATCGACAATATCAACAAGAGGATTAAATGACACAGATCCCAACACAGAGTCATACACTAAGCTCATGGTGAGGATTTAAGGTGTGGGTACCTGTGAGGCCTGGGCCATGTAGGGGAGAGCTGTGGGAAGACTGAGCCCCAGATAAAAAGAGACAAGTTCTTTGCCCATGAACCAGGTCCTGAGGCTAAGCCCAAGTTTCCAGACTTGAGCTGAAATCTCCTTTCTCTGCCCTGTTCCCAAGTTCCTGAGACTGTGGAGTATATTTTAGGATTTTGTGCACTCAAAAGAGAGGCAAATGTCCCAGGCTTCGACAGTCTGCATCCTTCTGTGTGAGCCTCACCCACACCCATGAGCCCATCTGACCCTGGCACAAAGTCTTTCCTCAATTTTGCCCAATTAGGAAAAAAATCTTAACTTGGCCTTATGAGGTCTGCTTGAACAAAGTCCGTCCTTAATTCCACACAATTAAAAAAAAAAAAAATCTTCAGGCTGGGTACAGTGGCTCACACCTGTAATCCTAGAACTTTAAGAGGCTGAGGTGGGAGTTTCACTTGAGACCAGAAGTTTGAGACTGGCCTAAACATAGCAGGACCCCCCTCTCTACAGAAAATTAAAAAATTAACCAGTGGCACACCTTATAGTCTCAGCTACTCAGGAGGCTGAGGTTGCAGTGAGCTAAGATGCTGCCATTGTGTTCTAGCCTGGGCAACAGAGCAAGACTTCATGTCTAAAAAAAAAAAAATGCAAAACTTCAAATTATTTGGCCTTAGAATCAAACCTGGTAAAACCTTAGGTTCCAAAGAGAAACCTCCTGGCTCACTGTTATATCAAGCTTTGTCACAGGCCTGGTGACAGCTATCATTTTAGGACAAGCAAGCCCAGCCTTCCCAGAAACCAGCCCAGCCTGGGGCAATTGTTTCCAGGCTCTGAGTGAGACAGGAAACCGTAAGTCCCAACTTGTTAAAAAGCTACAAAAGCCACACCAAGGTCTCTGACAAAAATAGGAGAACAGGCTCCAGTAAAGAAACTGGTTAAGACCAGTAACAGCCAAGATGGTGACATAAATGACCTCTGCTCACCCTTGTAGCTTATTATATACCCAGCTTATAATGTGTTAGCATACTAACAGAAACTCCCACCAGCGCCATGACAGTTTACAATCACCATAACAACCCCAGATGTTACCTTATGTGGTATGAAAAGAGAAGGAACCCCCAAATTCCTGGAAATCTCCACCCTTTTCCCAGATAACCAAGAATATTCCACCCCTTATTTATCATATAATTAAGAGATACCATAAGTAGAGTTCACCAGCAATGTACGGCTGCTACCATGCCTATGGGGTAGCCCGCTTACTGTTTGTTGTTTAATAAATGTTTTCATTTCCAACTTAAGGCTCATGCTTGAATTCTTTTCTTCAGGAAGCTAAGAATTCTGTTGGCCTTCGGGCCAGACCCCGGTTTTGGGGTCCATTTTCCTGTGTCATGAGCATTTAAAGGAGCCCAGAGCTGCTTCTCACAGATCAGGGACCCCTGCCGGCTGCCTGGTTGCCAACAGTCCGTTTCCTCCCTCGTCTCTGTGGAATCAGAGCCCACACTGGTTTGGGTGTGCAGAAGGGCCTGGCAGGTCCAAGCACGGAGGACTTCTCCCATCCCTTCCATCACCTGTGACTAAAGAGACGCACCCCAGCAGACAGCACCATTCTTGCTGGTATGTCATAAAGCAAGAATGAAGAGGTGGCAGGATGCCCTGTGATTAGGCACAGAGAACCCAAAACAACCCAACCCAAAATCAGCACAGGCCAAAGTTATCTCCACCAGTGCTCTTCCAGGTGCAATGGAACTTCAGTATAAAATCTCCCCAAAGGTCCCAAGCAATACAGACTGCTCTCTGCACAGACAGCGCATGGGGGTAAACACACAGACCAACAAATGCAATCCCCCCCAAAATAAAATTTATTCTTTGCCACTTCATACTTGGCAAGTGTTGATCATTATGTCACTTCATACAATGATTAAATAAAATACATCTGGATCAGAGAAAACCTCACGGAAACCAGCTTGGATCCCATGAGCACAAAGTAAGGGACCTGGGGGGTGGGGGGAGACCAGGACAGTAGAGAGGGTTAAGGGGATTTAATTAGCCAGTGGTAAAATGTCATTTTCCTTGAGTCAAGTGATTCTCATTTTATTCTAGTGTCCTAAAAATGGTGATGAAGATTTTTTTTTTCCTTTTGAGGAATTCTTTTTTTCTCCAATGAATAATTCTTAATCGTCTGCTCTTTTAAAGTATTGTGCAATTTCTAAATAACCATTTTTCTAAATCAGACTGACACTAACAATTCCTTCTGATTGGGGTTTCCCGAATCACCCGCAGAAAGGTGGCTGCTCTGCGGAGAGCCTGCCAGGAAAACCGGCCTGTACATCCTGTGCCCGAAAGGATTCACTTCCTCAAAGACATAGCCAGGGGGCTCGGGGTATGAAGCCGGGCACCTGTGCAATTCCTTGGGCGTGAAGCTGATGGTATAGGTGGTCTGGCCCTCCACGGGGATATTTCCTCGAGGGCCAGACCAGGGGGGCTTACAGCTTTTGGTATTGCTGGGTGGATGGGGCACATAGTGGGCCCGCGCGGTGGTCAGGCAGTCCAAGGGCTCCGTGGGAAGGTTCAGGTGGAGAGTGGGCTTGACTAGCTGCGTGCGCATGCTGTCCCACTGCTTGTAGTCATCCTTGGTGGTGGTGGAGCCCTCGAAGCGGCAGCTCTTCTTAATCGGGAGCACCGGTCGGCAGGACTGAGCCGGGGCACCCTTAGGGTACGTGTAATGGGACTGCACTGTCGTCAGGAGATCCATCTTCTCTTCGGGAGGGACGTAGGCGATGGGAGGTTTGGAGAACACCTGGGGCGTTGGCCAAGCTTGGTACTTATCTCGAAACTCGGTGGTGGTAGAGAAAGGAATGTCTCGCCCAGGGGGCCTGGCTGGAGGTTTCGAGCTCCTGGCGGGCGCCCCCATCAGGCCCCGGTAGGACTCTTTGTGGGTGGTGAGGCTCTCAAAGGGGATCTCACAGGGCCTGAACTTCGCTGCCTCGTGCACAAAGCGCTTCTCCACGGGGTGGGGCACATAGCTCATCTTGTAGTTAGTCAGATCCTCCAAGGGGATGTTACAGAGCTTTGGTACTGGTGGAGGTTTACAGCTTATGGTGTTCACAAGGCCCTTTACAGGGTAGTCATCCTGGTGTGTGGTTCTACTCTCAAACCTGGCTGATGGCCGGTACTTGTGTTCCGGCCGAAGCATTTCTCGTCTCGGTTGGTTCCAAGGTAAATAATCAGCTGAAATGAACGCAGAAGAGATCGTTAATAACAAATCAGGTCACCCAATTTGCATGTATTCCAATGAGGTGTTCTTTGAGACAAGGGAAGAACACAGACGATCCCTACTACCACCAGAACCAAGAGGGTACTTGCAGGCTACTGTGTAGGAGAGACATATTTAAAGAAGTTGTCATCACCCATCTCCAACACACCTACACACACAATGCTGCACACAGGGATTTTAGAAGGTCCACGGTCGTGGGAGGATCCGGGCAATACATTCCTGCAGAGAAGTTCAACCACTGGCTTACCATGACCCAGGAACCATTCCTTTCTTCTATAGGGAAAGTGCCCACTCTGAATCAGCATGGAATAAGTGAGATAATGCTTCTGATGTAGTGAGACAGGGGATTCACAACCCATGGGCCACCTACTGGACCAACCAGGCCTACCTGGTCATCTGTGGAGTGGTAGCCACTGTGTCCCTATAATCCTCACATCCAATGCACACAAATCAAATATGCCTCTCCAAGGGAATAGAGGCATTGTATTGGCTGGTAAGAGAGTAGCAGCAGTTGCCACTTGTATAAAACTTACTATGTAACAGGCAGTGTTCTATGAGCTTCATATATTAACTCGTTTACTCTTCAGACAGTCCTAATGAAGTGGGTACTATTAAAATGCCCATTTTACAGATGCAGAAACAGAGAGACACGGAAAATTAGGGAATTTGCCCCAGATCACTTGGCTAGAAGCAGAAAAGCATGAATTCAAATCCAAATCCAGAGACCATGATCCAACCCACTCTACTATCTGGTTCTAAAAATTAAGGAACACCAACTATGTGCCAGTGAATCGTGTTCAAGCCTTTCCATACACAATCTTTTTCCATCTTCACCATAACACTTTGTGGTAGGGTATGATTGTCTCCATTCTACAGATTTCCAAAAGCAAAGGCTCAGAGAGGCTTAGAAAAGCTTGCCCAAAAGTCACATGGCAAGTGAGTTAAGTTAGAATTTAAACCACATAGTTGGCTCCAAAGCCATGCTCTTCTGACAAGCCCATATCACACTTAGGGGCACTATATTTCTAGATGGCGTAAAGGTTAAAGAAAAAATAATCAAGAAAGATTTGTAGGAGGAGGAGAACTTCAGGACGCTAGAAGAATGAAAAGGATTGCCAGCTATA